GTCCTTCTAGGAAACAGGTACTGGCAATCATCAATACAAATAGAAAGCAAAGATCTGGTTATACCCTCAATCATATTGAACATATTAATTGTGTACAAATAATGCCTTAATCCTGTCAGGACTTGTTTTCTCCCTACACAACTATGTTTCCTGTGTACTAGCAATTGTCCCTGCTGCTGCATAGAAGAGTTTAATGGATAATCTCCTTTTACTCTGGTTCAAATGACTGATGGAAGAACTTTAATAGTGGCAAAGAACCTGTGACCATCCATAGAATGTTGAACTACACATTCTAGCTGTATAATCAACTTGGCCAATGGCAAATGATGCTGGAAATGATAATTCATCAATATCTGGAGAGTTCTAGTACATTTCCTGAGAATTTACAGTATGGTTCATAGATAACGTTCATTAACAAGAGAAGAGTGGCTAGGTATTGGTAAGGATACTTATGAATCATATACCTATGATTCCCTGACTATTACAAAAAGTTTTTTATAGTTCTATAAAGTGAAAAAAATGCATATATTTAAACTTCATTTTAATGAATTCATAGAGAAGTGCATAACTCTTGCAATTGTTTACTTATTTACCAAACATATGTCTATTAAATATGAAAGTGATATGAATATATAAACTGAATAAATATCATTTCCACGACGACATCATTGCAGAAATGATACAAATCTGTCACTTGCAACAGTTTTTATCAATTGTTCAATGCAAATTGTCCAAATTGATGCAAATGATATTACATAATGGATCTAAATCACCATGGACATTTATTGCTTTAAATGTAAAGAAAGGTAAATCAAGATTTCATTGTACTTTCATTCACTGGGCAGTAGAGGGATAATTAAAAATGTCTGAAAAAATAAGGTAAAATAAGTAAGAATGAAAGGAATCTGTTGATGGAAAATCAAAAAGTCAAATGTGGCCATAAATGTGCAATTAAGGCGTTATTCCCCCCATCTTTTTAAAATATATATTCATGAATACTGGAAGGGTTCGTGAGAAAAACATTTTTTATTTGTTATGTTAAACATTTTAATGTAAATGCTTGAATTGTTCACTCTGTGGTGTATGCACTTTGAACTTAAGATGTCAGAATAAAAATATTCATGGTTCACTTTGTGATTCTCATATTTATAATTTGTTGATCCAAAGAAAGCACAGTGTACCTATTTTTCTCACATCAATGATTAAGCAAATCAAAAATGATCATTAAAGTGAATGTTTGAGTTTCCCTTTAGGTAAAACCATTACTTTTAGGGTAGGGCTGAAGTTATGACCAAGTTACACATTTTGGTGCTATCCATAGAGTGAACGAATGATTAAAAGAGAAAAAGAAAAAGGAGATGTCTACTTAAAACTAGTAACCAAAATCTGGTTGTCAGGCAACAAAACCACTGTTTGCCTACTCTGCTTTTTTAAAGAGACAAAGTAATTACACGGCTTATCATTTTACCCTGAATATCAATACACATATACATCACTGAATTCACAGAGTCTCTAGAAGTGTCCCTAATCCCCATAAAGTGAAAGTTATAAAATGATATATCAGCATTTCTACATGATACTTTTCAAAAGTCATCAAATTTAATAAGAATGTTGAATCTCATGACATTTTGTTAATATTTTATAAGATCTGAACAAAAATCATGACATTTCAATAATATAGCAAGAGGATACCTAAGCTATTTCCAGAGAAACAGAAAAGCCAAAATTAGGTTGGATTCTTTAAAAACACTATAAAGTTTAATTTTAAAAAAGCAACCAAAATTCACTGAATTTGACAGACGTGCTTTAAATTCAAATGAGATTTGGAAAGAAATGGAGGGAAAAAATAAGGAATGTTGAATTTCTCATAGACAAAGATGGATACATAATCTAGTCAACAGAAATATACTCACAAACCTGTACTTTACACAATGGTAGTAAATATTATATCCAACCTTTGATAGGAAGTAAAAAGAATTGTGTTCCAATTTATACCAAGGAACCAAAGTTGGGGAAAGTTCTAGAAATTCATGCTGAAAGTCTGAATAAATTCTGAATAAGTCTGTATCAAGAATCCTACCGCTTGAAAATTTTTTTAATGCTAATTCAATGGGACAAAAAGAATACGAATTTCATCATTATTAAATTGCTACAGCATATTTTATGAAACACTATACTAGCACTGTATTCTTCAACTAAGTTAGCTTATTTGATATTAAGCCATTAATATCAAATAAGCTAGTTTTGAGACCAGATTTGGTAGCTAGACAAATTATGTTGAGGGTTGCTTAAACAGATGAGTACTTGCATACACCAGTGAAAAGAAATGGGAGTATTGTGTAATGCTATGATTTCCATCATTCCCCTCTCATCCATATAGTGTTTAATTTAGAAATAATTTCCTAGTCTAGAAATTACATGTCTCTAATGTTCTGGTTCTTGAACTATTTTTACAATGGCAGATCTTCAATAGTGGAATTGCGCTATTGAAATTGTTCCAATGATGTGCTTCTGAAAGAATAAATCCAAATATTATTTCCTCCTTCCATAAAATTCTTCCTTCCATGAAACCCTATTTACAAAAGGAATAATAAGTACTTCAAAAGAAAAAAAAGGTTAAAAGTGACAGAGGATCAAAGGCTAAATAATTTATTTAGCTAAAAGTACAAAAAAAAAAAAGGAAATAAACCAGAAAAATATACTGATGAAAATTTTTAAATAATTGGGTGCATTCACAAATGAAGAAAATGACAAGGAAGAACTTTCCATGAGAAAGAAATATAGGAGGAAAACTAACATATTCTAAATTACACTAATATATTTGAAAAGAGTAGGAAACCAGATTTCTGCTTCATCAATGAAGACCACATTTTTAAATTTTAAATTGCAAGTTATGTCAAACTGACAGCAATTATGCTGTTAAAGCTAGCAAATAAACCACATGTCTATAGCTGACTATTAGGGATAGTGCAAAAATATGAAGAAAAGCACTCAAAATAACAGTGTTTCTTGTTAAAAGTATCTCCCTTTATTCTGAACTCCTGTTGAATACCTGCAGAGCTTGACCTAATTCAAAATGGGGTTGGTAGCCCATCCCTGCCACCACCTTGTTCTTTCTGACAGTCTTCTTCACATTTCTCAAGCAACTTGATAAATAGATTTTTGGCTGTTTTCTTAAATATTAATAGTAAAGTACCATCTCTGAATTTTCTTGAGTAATGAATACATATTCACCCAAAGATGAAGAGATTATTGCAGGGATGTATATAGTATTACTGAATACATTCAGTGGACAGTAATAGAAAAAGCATGGATTCATGGTGTACAGAAGTTTAAATTGAAAAATTTAAAAAAGATTCTGCACATTTGAACTGTCACCCTTGCTTCTTTCTGGATATATTAATTTTTCTGTAAAATCCATCATGCAATTTTCTGTGTATCCACACAAATTTCCTAATAGTGATCTCAGCAGAATTTTAACACTTTCATTTAAATCTGATCTGGGCCTTAAAGAAAGTCTGAGTAATACAACACAGGGTAGGTATGTGTGTAATGAGGGAAGTCAACAGTGGCATCAAGACATTATTTGAAATATCACATTTTACTTCACGCCTACTTGTTGGTAACAAAATGTTGAAATTTATATTAGGATAGGCAGACTTTTATAAATGCCCAAGCATGGCATAAGAAAGAGTGGGTATCTTCTAGCGTAAGTTACCACAAAGAACATTAAAAAAAAACAGTTAAAAAAATAAGAAATAGTTCCTGCTGCCACTGAAGTAGTGAGAAGGACAAGGAAAGCGTGATACAAAATGGTGGATTGTAGTAAATGCACAGTAATATGAAATGAAAAGAGTAATTACTCAAATGAAAGATAACCTCACAAAATATCTAGAACTGAGAAATACTCTACATTTAGTGTTATAAAGATTTCATCTAGGAGACAATGGGTTTTCTAACGAATAGATTATTGGCAAAATTGCGAACAAGGGATTTTTTTTCCAACTAAAGCAAGCCCTCCTAAGAGTGAGGGAAACTAGAACCAAAGTCTGCCTTCAATATTACTATTGTCTCTATGGCAATGAGAAACAGGGAATCTAGAAAGAATTAATGAAATATTCCATGCTTCACAGTTCGCAAAAGCAGTTGTTGAATCTCTACATTCAACACGTGCTTTTAGTAAGCAGAGCTAAGATATCTTTCTGTTTATTGTCCTGGAAAATTGTTATTAGTAAAAAAATTTTTTGTTAACAACACATTGTTTACAAAAATTCAATTGCTTATTGATGGGATTTTTTTTTTTTTCAGAAAAACGAATTCTGTTGTTTTGGACAACAGAGGCCTAAATTAAGCTTGAGATAAAAAAGCTAGACTTATCAACACAAATCAAAGCCACTAAATTCCATTCCAACTTTGCATGGCAAATGACATATAGTTTGCTGTAGTGTGGTCCATCAAAGTTTATATCAGCGGCAACAGGAGAAAGGTTCTTGATTATGAAAGAGAAAATTAAGCAAAGTGGGTATTTTGAAAAATTCACTCACCTTCCTTGTTCCTGGAAAACATTTATAGATTTCCCCCAATAAAAAACACCTAATAAATCTTGAAGAATATCAGAAAACAACCTAATACCACAAATTATCTTGCTGAACCCCAAAATTGTGCCAGTGAGACAAAAATAAAATTTGAACAAGTAACAAATCATCATTTAAATTATAAGTACAAAACAGATTGCAAATAGTTAACACTTACAAAATACTGAGATGAGGATAACATGGCAGAATTCTCCCTCTTCTTGAAGACAGCATATAAAATTCCCCCAATCATTCTCCAAAGAGCTAATTATTTCTGTATCCCTTTGTTAGCTCTATCAAATTTTATGTCCCCAGAAAGGGGCATTTCTTGCAATGTCTTTCAGCCTTGCAAAACTAGACAATCTTAGCAGGGGCTGCCATGTTGAATTGCAAGTCTGATATGATTCAACAATTTTCTTTCTCCTGCGTAGGGTGGCAAATATCCAAAATCAAAAAAACTTATCCAATTACCCAAAATCAAAATATTTTGAAAAATCAAAAGAAAATCCTGATTAACAGTTAGGAGAAATAATAAATAATAAAGCCCACCAACAAGTTGGGTTGGTTTAAATAAATGGAATGTTTTAGCACAAAAAGCGAGAAGAATAGAGGAGGGAAGAAAGGATGTAGGAGTAGCAAGTGCCAAAGCACTTGGACAAATAAAATGGAATTTTAAAATATTTTCAAAAGAGCTACATTTGATTTCGTACCAGAAAGAGATGTGCCGGGAAGGAGAAAGATTTTGCTGCTCAGTAGCCGCTGGCTTTAACTTCGATGATCTGGACAATCATCAGGAATGGTTTCTTTTTTCAAGAAAGGCCAGTTTCAGTGAAACAGCTCCCCCCCCCCCATGCGTTCCCTTTTCCTTCTCAGAACAGTTCAGCGCCAAGAAATGGGCGGTGCCTGCATGCCAGGCTTCATCCGAATGAGACGCCAAGGCCGACAAGAGGCTGGCATAAAGAGAAGCTGGCACAAATTCCTCCACTTAGAACTCCACTTCAATATACCCTTCAAATAGTCTCCCTTTATTAGCAAACTGAAAAAAACAAAAAACAAAATCCATGGAACCCTCCCACCCCAAGCAAATATCTCTAAAGTTTCTCAGTCTCTATTGAGAACCATTTCCAAAGGGCAATTTCCAACCAATACCTATTCTTTCAACCCATGCCAGTTAAAACAAGCAGCTCATTCTCTCTTCTCTCTGGGTTAGCAGCCCAAGGTATGTACATAAAATAAATGTTGACTTCTACTTCCCTAACTTGAGATGTTGAAGGCAGCAAGCTCCTTTAAAACACAGCTAAAGATGAAAGACAAAATGAAACAAAAAGAAAACAAACACAAAACAACCCTCTCAAGTTATACAAGAAGCAGTTTCATTTTGCGAAATGTTTCTTCTGTCGGTGGCAAAAATGGAGTTAAGAGACATAAATGGAGATGAGGATGGTTTAAAAACAAATCAAAGCAAGCAAACAAACTACCGGGATATGCCAGAAGAGGACACCCTCCCTCCAGCTCCCATTTTCCATTTTTTCTGTGCCAGCCTTAGACAGAGAGATAGAGAGAAAAGGGGGAAAAAAGGAAAGAAAGCAAGCGAGCGAGCGAAAGGGGCAGTGAATAGCTGCTCGTTCAGAAATGGGCCTACAGCCATTTCCACTTTGGAAGCCTCAGCAGTCGTTCTCTCTCTCTCGCTCGCTCTCCCTGCATTCTCCCTGCCCACTCTGGCTTAGCTGCCAAGTCAGAGTTGGCACTGCTTCCCAGGCAGCACGGAACAAAGCCATTTCCCATCCCTGTACAGGCAACTGTCAATAAGCAAAGTGACAGTCACATCTCCTGCATGTTAATCCTAATGGACAGGAGATGTTTGCAAGAGAATAAAAAGCCCCTTCGCCCCTCCAAAGCCGTACAATAAAATCATTTAAAAAATAAATAAAGGAAAAAGCCTTCTTCGTCGACCCTATTTGGAAGGATCATTTAAAAATACAGCTGTCTGCAATAAGGATTGGAGAGGGAACGAAGGGGGGGGGAGATGAGGGTTTACCCACTAACACCCTGGCAAACAAGGCTGCTTTGCATCTGTTGTACCTGTTCCTGTTGCCTTCCTTGCCTCTTGGAATCGTGACAAGAGAGAAAAGTCGCCTCTGGTGGGTTGCTCAAAGCTGCGGGTCTGCAGCCCTGTGCAGGAAGTTGGCACCGATCCCAGGTAGGACTTTACTCCCACATTTCTACCCTCCACCCCCTCCCGCTTCTTCCCCTCCCCTTCTTCTTCTTCTCCACCCACCCACCCACCATCTCCCTTGGTAAATTTCACCCTGCTCTTCCTCAAGCCTGTACTTAACTTACCTTTCCTCCCTGCACCACTGTGTGCATGGCTGTGCATGCATGTACATTAGGAATCAATCAGATGCACTCAGGACCTTCTAGAATTCAAGCTAAGAAGTACAAACACCCCTTAAGGGTGACCCAGGTGGTAAAGACAGCAACAGCTTCATATCTGCACTAGTTCTCCTACATGCTGTTTCACACATGGGTTGGGTAGTGGTTGGGTTAATTCTTTTTTTCCATGCTGCCAAGGAGACTGGACAGTACACGGGGGGGGGGGAATTCTCCGAACTCTGTACAGCACAATGAATGGAAAATGTTGAGCTTCGTGAAACTCCCAAATCCAATCCCTCCCTCCCCTCCCCTTTCTGCATTTTTAATACTGCCCGGGTTCTGAATTGTTTTGAGCCCACGGTTGGGAGGGAACATACAGTATGGACTCTCTGCTATTGGCAAGAGTCTTGCTGGGGGTGGGTAGGTAGGGGAGAACCGAGTTCTCACAATCAAACAGCGAGAAGAGCAAAGAGAAATTAACATCCAATTAGTGCCATGTTTAACGAAGGAGACAGAGACAGCCGTTGTTTTATTGCTCTGTTCTTTTCTTTTGAATCTGACAGGCAGCGCAAAAGGCACCTCCAGATTGCAGTGACGTCATTTTCCCCTCTCTCTTCCAAGTTTCACAAAGGTTTGTCAAGTTAGACAAAAAAATTAAAAAGAAAAAAAATACATTTATGGCCAAATGTCACAAAAACAAAAATTAAAAATAAGAGTTCTGTCTCTCTCTCTCTCTCTCTCTCTCTCTCTCTCTCTCTCTCTTTCTGTGTGTGACTCCCTCTCTCTCTTTTTTTCTCTGTCTATGTCTGTGTGCCTTTGCTTGTTTTCCGGCTCACTCAGCTTGTAAAAGTTTGAGCTGTGTGACACTCCTCCCGGCCTCCTTTGGCAGCGTGACAAGAACTGCTTTGGTGTATCAAAGAGAACAGGCAGCTTTTAAGGAAGAAACTCAATTCAGAGAGATTAAAGAATTCTAATGTTTTAATCAAGGGAAAGCAAGGGGATGAGGGGGAGCTTTTCCTTACATCTGGTGCAACCTAAGTGGCTCTCTAGATGCTGCTCCTGCAATTTAGAATTAAAGGAGTAGAGGAAATGAAAGAACCAAAACTAGCCAAGAAAGTAGTATTAACCACCCCACTGTTTCTCTCTCCATAGTTGTGAATTTCCAAGCCTTCTATATGGAGAAAGATTTATTTTGAAATATTCTTGGGCATCATGGGTGCAGGCAAAGTCTTTCCAGTAACACATACAATTCTCACCTATTAGGGTAAGAACATTATAACGACATATTTCTTCCTACCAGACAGCCCCATATTCTCTCATCAAGGAAAATAGGACCCTTAATAATCCTGTAACAAAACCTGGCAATTCCTTGCTTTCTGTCCCTCCCAGCCCCTGACCTTTATACCTGGGCCTCTTGTATCCTATCCAAACTGCTCAGAATTGATTTCTCCAGCTTGAAAGAAATGTAGCAGAGCTTTACGAGCACGTTTCCCTGGCCAAATTAACTGGACTGAGTGATATCCCTTGGTGACTAAATGGCCGCTGTTACAGCTCAGCAGCCTTTGGAACCAAGCGGAGCCATCTAGAGGCAAACGTACCAATTCTGGGCTAAAAGAATCCCTGTTCAAAAATAGGATAACACCAGGGATATTTCTGTACTAAGATCATTTTAATTTCTAAACCATATTGAGTATACCGGACAAAAAGCAACATGTAAATGAATACAGTATTCATGTCTTTATTTGAAAAGGAAATGGTAAGCTTCCTTACTCCCACCCCTTCCTTGTCCCCATGAGGGGAAACATCGGCGCAGAGTTCTGTTATGATTCTTTAAGGCAGATTTCATTGTCATGAAAATACAACTAATCACACTACGTGGTTGGTGCTGTGGCACTGGGAATAAACTGTGATGCCAGCAACAAAGCCATCAGTCTTTTCTTGGCTTGCAATATGCTCATTTTTAATCTAGGACTGGGCTTTTGGCTAGATTTAGAGATGGACCATGACTTAATAAACATCAGCCAGTAAGAAAAGTAGAGTAAGGTTGCTATTGTTAAGAGAAAGAGAACCCAACAATTACAAATAAGTACTATATACTGTCCACATCAATCTTGCGCAGGCAGAAAGAATGTACACTAAATACATCCACTTCTTTATCTATTCTGGGATATTTTTAAAAAAGAATGACTTGGTCTTTGAAGTAAGTAATGGAAATGGTTCAAAGCAACATGGGCTCTGCCATAACAAACAGCTTTGTAGCTAACCTGAAGTATTTGAAGATAATCTGGAAATATTTTAAAGATTTCTTCCTCTAATGTGAATATTGTATTATATGTTTCATTACTTCAAATGATGTATTCCCTTTTCTGTAGAGTGTTATAAAGAAAAACAGTATAAAATTTCCTTTAGAAGCAAAACTAAATAGACTAGAATCTTTTTATAATTTGATTTAAATTGATTTCACCACTTCTGTGAAATTTCTAAGATTAGAGAAGATACTGGCAATTAGAAAACCTGAGCAAAAAAAATGTTTTGGAGTTATTTGTTTTTGCTGCAGAATGGCATTTTATTTTGTTCTCCGTTATTTTTGCATAATAAAACAAGAAGCAATTGCTGATAGGGATGCAAATTTTTTTTGTAATGAATGTAAACCTGAACCGAATGAAAATCATTTGCTTCAGTCTTCATTTGTTAAGAAACAAATGCTATTATTTGGAGTTTTTTGTTGTCTCATTCATACCTATTCATCACTGATTCTGGGGCAGAATGGGGCTTATGCTCCTCTAGTGAAAGCAGCTGTCTTTGGCAGTCACCATTTTATTTTTCTACAATGCCCAAGATATTTTACATCATCCGAAGGCATTCTGTGGTTAAAAAAAAGTCCATCAATTTCACAACATGAAAAATTCTAAAGGATTCAGAAACAAAAATAATCAAATGATGATTAGAAAAATCAGATCAGAGAAAAAAAGAATATAAAAGCAATTCAACCTGAGAGCCATAAAAGCAAATGCATTTGAAATGACTGAATAACAAAAGAGGTACGATTTATTTTGTTAGTATGCTTGTAGGCTGCTCCAATCATTTAACTCTGGATGGCATACAACTCCCAAAACATGTAATCTGGAATTGAAAACAAATCATAGAATGTAATATGTAAAACTGGGACTCATTTTAATACAATAAAACCAATTCCTTATTTGGAAGGATAGTAACAATAATAACATTAAAATAAAGCTAGATCGAAGCCACTAGCTGGCAATGGTTAGACCACAAATGTCATAGTTGAAAGTCATCCATTTTGATTTTCACCAGAAATTTTTTTCCTACAAAATTCCTTTCCTATTATGCTTAAATCTTGCTAAATTTCACTCCTACGTGCTGTCTTATTTTAATATACTATTACTGTATTAATGATGTTATCCAGCTAGTTTTTGTTACCTAATATCTGGAAAATTGTCTTTCTAGATTCTAGAACTGCTCTAGAACTTTGTGATGTTGGCCTAACAAAGAGTTCCTTGCATTGGAGTTTCATGTTCAAACTATGACCACAGTGGGTGGTCATAGCGAGTCTTTTACAAGAAGGAATAGGAAGTCCACCCTGGGACTAGGAGAATGCCCAAAGAGAAGAATGAAAAAAGTAGGGATGAGGATCAAATGAAAGAACCACATTTCATTGCAAAGTTGAACAACTACTCCCTCTTTTCTTTGCAAATTGAAAACTGACCCATTAAGGCAACGGTCCTCAATCTTTCTGGCTCTGTGGACTAGTGGTGGAGATGGGGGAGAGGGGATGGTTTCATGCATGTGCCTGCTGCTTGCACATGAGATTTGCATGCTCATGAGCTTTCCACTGCTTGTGCAGCCCAGTTACCAACAGGCCATGGCCCGGTACCATGCCACAGATCATGTTCGAGGACCCCTGCATTAAGGGATTCTGTAGCCTATTCGAACAATTTGCTTCCCACTGCTGCTACTCCAAGAAATGGTCTAGGACCAATGTATGAAGAACAGGATAAGGAGACCATGTTAATTTGGAGTAGGGATTTTGGTTTTAGTATCGACCTACATATTTGGCAAGAACTGTGGGAAAGGAATAGGAAACTCACTTTAGCTACTGTACCTCATATAAGGAAAATCTTTACATGGGGCTACCCTTGAAAAGTATTCGGAGGCTACAGTTGGTCCAGAATGCAGCTGCGCGAGTGATAGTGGGTGCTCCTCGACACACCCACGTTACACCTATCCTCCGTGAGCTGCACTGTTTGCCTATTGGTCTCCGGGTCCAATTCAAGGTGTTGGTTATTACCTTTAAAGCCCTATATGGCTCAGGGCCAGGCTATTTGTGAGACCGCCTACTACCTCATAGTTCCCTTCGTCCGGTTAGATCCCACAGGCTGGGCCTCCTTCCGTCGGCCAAGCAGTGCCATTTAGCAGGGCCGCGGAGGAGGGCTTTCTCTGTGATGGCGCCCACATCTTGGAACCAGCTCCCCCCCCCGGAGATTAGGACCGCTCCCACCCTGTTGGTTTTCCGTAAGCTGCTTAAGACCTGGCTTTTCTGGCAGGCCTGGGGTTTATAAAATCTGACCCCTGGATGACTGTTATTGTACTGTTTGTTTTGTCATATTTTATGGTGTTTTTATTGTTAGCCGCCCAGAGTCTTGCGGGAGTGGGGCGGTTTATAAATTTTTAAAAATAAAATAAATAAAATAAAGATGTTTTATAGATGGCATTTCCCATTCACATTGCATTTTTCTCATTTTTTTGTCTAGTGGAATAATCTGGTATGTATGAGAAAACAAATAATTCTTGGCATTAAATTAAATTGAAATAGTTTTATTATTTTTAATGAACAACACAGATAATGTCAAACACTCAACTATCCTTCCCTAAAAAAGTGAACCTTCAGTTTCCATCACCTTCATGCAGCTTAGCCAATAAATGATAGTTCAGCTTCTAATAGACTAGAGGCTTCTTTTCTGATCTAGATAATAATAGAGGCAGGAAAATGTTCTCCTTTATGCTGCTATCTATAGATTTAAGATATTGTTTCTTGCTTTAAAAGCAGGTAGGTTTGTGATTAGGCCCAATATATGGAGCAGTTTTAAAACTTGGGAGTAGATTAGCATAATGTTCATTTCTGCCACTGTGATTGTGCCTATCTATTAAGATATTAAGAGTCAGTTTGATGTAATGGTTAAGGTTCCCAATCTAGAAAACAAGAGACTATGACTTTTTAATCCCACTTTAGGCATGAAAACCAGCTGGGTGGTTTTGAGCCAGTCACTCTCTCTCAGCCCAACTCACCTCAGAGTTGTTGTGGGAAAAATAGGAGAAGGGAGGGATATTATTACTATACGTTTGCCACCTTGAGTTGCTTATAAAGTAATAAAGGTGGGATAAAAATCTAATAAAATAAGTTCATACTTCAACCATGTTTCTAATTCTTGCTGTGCTTAGAACAGTTCATCTCAGCTGCATTACCTCATTCTTATTACAATTTTGCATTTATATTGGGATCCTTTCTCACTTTTTCTTCATAAAAGCCTTGTAGTATGGGCTATATTAATGGTTCAAAGTCACCAGTGAGATCCATGATCATATAGAAACTTCAACTTGGATCTCTATAGT